TCTGATTAAAAATAACAAACATCTGAACCCCAAGATGTCAAGTAAATTGCTGTGCTCTCACTGCAAGAACTGTAAATTACTACTCTGTATTAGGAGACAGAATTTTATACTGATCACTGTTTATTGGATGTGATTGTCTCACCTCTCTTCTGTGAGCTTTATTGTAACTAAGGATCCCTGCAGTTTAAAACCCAGGAATTGGGAATATTCCCCATCAGATGTTCCCAGAAATGAAGGCGAGATCTAGACAATAACATTTCTCAGGTCCCTGGTTGAAAGTACGACCAGAAAGTTCTGTTCCCCAAGGTGGATGATGCTGCCTAGATTAGAGGGAGTATAATGCCTAGGAAAAGCTGAAATATGAGGAATATGAGAAGAATTTGAATAGGAAAGGAGCTACTGCCTCCCTAGTCTGAACATGCCACAACATTACAATGATTATTACAGGAGTATCTATAGACTGGGGCTCCATTTTGCTAAGAGCTCTACAAACATATAATGAAAGAGTCCCCAAACAGTCAAGACAAAGAGATGCAGGCCAAAGACAGGGACACTGTGATTACGTGATTTGCCTAACACTGTGATCAGACTATATCCCTCTGTCAACAGAGGGATGTAAATGAGGCACTTCGAAAGCGCAAATGAAGCAGGGATTTAAATATCCCGTGTTTCATTTGCGTAATTGCTTCACAGCGCTTTTTCAAAAAAGCACCATTTCAAAAATAAAATCGCAGTCTAGATGCGGTTCTTTCGAAAACGGCAGGCTTTCGTAAGAACCTATAAACCTCATTTTCAAAAGACAACGGTTTTATTTTTGAAATGGTGCTTTTTTGAAAAAGCGCTGTGAAGCAATTACGCAAATGAAACACGGGATATTTAAATCCCTGCTTCATTTGCGCTTTCGAAGTGCCTCATTTACATCCCTCTGTCAACAGAGGGATGTAGTCTAGACCCAGTGTAAGATCAAGCAGGTCAGTACCATGTCACTTGTCAGCAGTATTCTTTGAACCACACCTGCTTCACAAACACAACCTCATCAATTCGTATGAGTCCTTCTCTTAAACAGTTCTCAGTTTGATACTGAGTTAATCAATGTTCCGTTTACTACTCCTTCTAGGTCATTGATGAAGATGTTAAACAACAATGGACTTCGTGACAATCAGTGGGTCTCTAGACATCTTCTTACAGCTGGATTCATTGATTTTAACTTTTGTTTGTGGGCCTTTAGGCAGTTTTTAGACAGTGTTAATGCTAGGGCTGTTGATCAATCACAGTAAACTCATGCAATTACACAATTACTCATGATTTTTTAAAAAATTAAATGTGATTAACTGTAGTTTAAATCACACTGTTAAACAGATAACCAATTGAAATTTATTAAAATATTTTTGATGTTTTTCTAAGTTTTCAAATATATTGATTTCCATTACAATGCAAAGTATACTATGCTCACTTTATATCTGTATTACAAATATTTGCACTGTAAAAATGATAATAGTATTTTTCAGTTTACTCCATACAAGTATTGTAGTACAATTTCTATCATGTAAGTGCAATTTACAAATATAGATTTTTTTTGTTACATAACTGCATTCAAAACCAAAACAGTATAGACTATGAAACTTTACAAGTCCACTCAGTCCTACTTCCTGTTTAGCCAATCGTTAAACAAGTTTGTTTACATTTACAGGAGTGTAATGGTTCATGTCAGCAAGAGGACACGCTGACGCACTACAAGCCCCAGAGTTCAGGGCCTCAGACCTGAATGCAGGCCAAATATCAGCTCTAGAGGCCATGCCCTTGTTTGGGGCAGGGCAGCCAATATACAGTTAAGCAGTCTCTGGTAACCCAGGTGGCAGTGTAGAGGCCACGTCTGCGTTCGGGGCGGAGCAGCAAATAAGAGTTAAACAGTTTCTGTTAAGCCGGTCTGCAGTTTATGCGCCCAGGCCCTGGGTCAGGGTGGGGCAACAAAGAAACTGGTAAACAGTAGTCTGATAGGCTGCATATCAGTTTATGATCCCAGGCCCTTACTGAGGGCAGGGCAACGGACAAACAACTTAACAGGTAAGTGGTCCAAAAAGTTCAAAGGCATAGACCTATTTGCAGGCTGAGCCAGGGGTCGGGTCTCCTTGCTGGCGGAGAGCCGACAAGCGTAGAGGCTTCTTCTCCTACGGGGGAACCTGCCATCCAAGGGAAGAGGGAGTGGGGGGGACGCAGGCCCACCCGCTCCACTGCGTCCCAGCCCAGGGTCCTAGCGATGGAAGGGATCCAGGCCGCAACCTGTCGTCTGGGTCTGTGGGTCAGCAGGGGTCTGAGCCGCAATGCATTGCCCAGCTGACCTCCATTTCCTCTGCCACCCCGGGATTGGCTGTTCCTGGACCACTGGGGGCCTACCTGACTCGGGTGCTGCTCCTTGGTGTCAGCTGGGGACGGAGGCACCGGCAGCACGCCCATAGGCTTGGAGTCCTGTGCAGTAAGGGTCCAAGCAGTCTAGCCCACTCGGCTGGGCCTGGTAAGGGTCCTGGTGGTCCGGGCAAATCTGTGGGCCCGGGCAGTGGCTTCCCCAGCTGTGTCTCATTATCTGGGTCAGGAGGTGGCCATGGCGATCTAGGCCAGTGCTCAGGGCCTGGCAGTGGCCTGGGAAGCCCAACCCAATCCTCGCTCTGAGGACAACATGGCAGGGCCTTCCTTCACCGGGACTGGGAAAGAGCCTCTGCTCTGCAGCCGAGCTCTAACTGAGCTTGGAGCTCCTCTCTTTATACCTCCAGCCCTGCCTTCCTGTGGGTGGGGATGGGTGTGTCTAGCACCATCAACCAAGGGGTTTTGGGGGGTTTCTTCTTCTAGGTCAATGGGAGGCCATACTGACTCACACTACAGGGAGATAATGCTGCCTGCTTCTTATTTACAATGCCACCTGAAAGTGAGAACAGGTGTTCACATGGCACTATTGTATCCAGCATTGTGTGTGACAGATATAAAACCATTTGTATAACTCTTCATGCTTTGGCCACCATTCCAGAGCACATACCTTCATGCAGATGACATTCATTAAAAATAATTAAATTTAACTCCTTAGGGAAGAAGTGCATGGCTCCTGGTTTTTTTACCCACAGTCTGCCATATATTTTATTGCACAGCAGTCTTGAGTGATGACCCAGCACATGTTGTTCATTTAACACAGAGAAGGTACCAATGTGAGATTTGTGAAGATAGCTACTGCATTTGACCCAAGGTTTAAGAATTTGAAGTGCCCTCCAAAATCTGAGAGTGATGAGGTGTGTTGCATGTTTTCAGAAATCTTAACAAAATACTACCACTTCAATGTAGAAACTACAGAATCTGAAAATTAAAAAAGAAAATCAAGTTTTTGCTCGTGGCATCTGACTCAGATGATAAAAATGAACACAAATTGGTCCACATTATCTTGGATCATTATCAAGTAGAATGTATCATCAGCATGGACACACATCCACAGGAATGGTGGTTGAAGCATAATTCTACATTAAGTTCAACTTTCATGATAAAAAGATTGCACTACAGTACTTGTATTAGGTGAATTGAAAAATACTGTTTTTTAATGTAAATATTTGTACTCAAACTGATTAAGTATGATATTTTTAATCGCTTGACAGCCCTAGTTGATACACAAGCCAATTCAAATTTATTTTCTCACCTTGTAACTGGTGATGCCATATTTTAATTCTGCCTCAATTACTGCCATTGTCACTTAGTGATTTGAACTTAAAATCATTATTTATGAGCATGATGGCATTCTTCTGAGTTCTTACTATATCAATTCCCAGCCAGGAACCTGGAGGTATTGTGCTATTGAACATGTTGAGTAACATTTTTCAAAAGCAGCTAGTGATTTTTGGGTGTAGAATTTGAGTCACCTTCACAGATTTGTAAAATCAGAAGGGACTTTTGTGATGATCCTATGCAGACTACACTTGTGTTATACAGATGACCCGCATAACATAGGCTATATTATTTCACCCAGGGGCTTCCTGAATCTAGTCCATCCACCTGTGATGAACTACATTATTTCTTTCACGAATCAGCCAATTTTTAACTTGAAGGGAAAAAGCCTTAGAAGGATCCAGTTTTCAGAAGATGATCATCACTTTTTGCAAAAATCAAGCCCCTGTGTCTCAAGTTGGACACTCAAAATTGAGGTTACCTGAAAACCAGTACTCCCCTTTTGAAACACCATCTTTTTCATGAGAAATAAAACTGAAGCCTTGACCACTTTCAGTCCTTAACATCTTATGGCATTTAAATGAAAACAAACAAGAACGTTAATTATATTGCCACAGCCAAAATTCCACCTGGGGTAACTTAGAAGGACAATTTTAGTTAGAATTCAAAATATTACTTGAATTGGTTGTGATATGTTTTTTTCTTCCGTACCCTAAACTGCCATATAATATTGCTATACATTGCTAAAAAGCCACCATTTTTATTGCCATGAACACCAAGCACAGTTGAATTTCTTCCCAGGAGGAAGTGAGCACTGTTTAGTTTGTATATCAGCTTATGAAAAACATCAAGATTCAGAAACAACCAGACAGAAGCACAGTACTGCTGCCAATTAGACACCATAAAAGATTTCTGTAGAATTATTTTGACAAGTAGCACAAAGTAGTTTCACACAGAAAAATAAAGCTAAGCCTGAAGGCCTGGTTCTCTATGCAGATAGGCAGTGAAGAGAGCAACAATTCCAAATTTTCAAATAAAAAAAATAAAATAAAAAAAATCAAAACTTACTGTGGATTTATATCCGGGTTAATCTTTTTCAGTTCCATGATGTCATCTATAGTTTTTTCAATGGCATCTAGATGAACACCTACTGAAGTTTGCAGCAGCTGGAAATAGGTTTTAACAAATTAACTACTGCAAGATATTTAGTGGATACTCATTATGGTGAAATGTGATGCACATGAGAGTTTCTTGACTGACAGCCCTGGAAACCCAACTTTCTATCTGCTCACAGAACAAGTACACCCTGAGCAGCCCCTCCAAAATGTTTAACACCTCACCTTGACCCTGATCATCCTCCCTCCTAGTGAAGAGCCAGGTCACTTTCACAGGCTCACCCAATGCCATACGTCTCCATGGTGGCTGCCAACTGTGAAGATGTTTTGTATTGTGGACTTTTCTCTAATAGGAACTAGGGATATAAGTGACTATTCCATCAGTCACTTCCTCTCCCCCTTGTTGCCTCTATCAGGTATCGAGTACAGGCAGTCCCCGAGTTACGCGGATCCGACTTATGTTGGATCCGCAGTTACGAACGGGGTTTGCTGCCCGTCTCCCTGGTCTGCTGAGATGGGGAGCAAAGCCTCTGAGGACGCCGGCAGCGGGACAGCCGCGGCGCGTCTGGGCTGTCCGCTGCCCGCGTGCTCCCCGGCTTTGCTCCACGTCTCCCTGGTCTGCTGGAGACCAGTAGACCAGGGAGACGGGGAGCAAAGCCCCTGAGGACGCCGGCAGCGGGACACATAAGTCGGATCCGTGCAACTCGGGGACTGCCTGTAGTTACAGTACTATGACAATACAAATAATAACCATATATATATGCATTTGGTGGAAGCGTAACTGCCACCACATATCATAGAATCATAGAATAATAGGACTGGAAGGGACCTCGAGAGGTCATCGAGTCCAGCCCCCCGCCCTCAAGGCAGGATCAAGCTCCGTCTACACCATCCCTGACAGATGTCTATCTAACCTGTTCTTAAATATCTCCAGACAGGGAGATTCCACCACCTCCCTTGGCAATTTATTCCAATATTTGACCACCCTGACAGTTAGGAATTTTTTCCTAATGTCCAATCTAAACCTCCCCTGCTGCACTTTAAGCCCATTACTCCATGTCCTGTCCTCAGAAACCAAGAGGAACAAATTTTCACCTTCCTCCTTGTGACACCCTTTTAGATATTTGAAAACCACTATCATGTCCCCCCTTAATCTTCTTTTTTCCAAACTAAACAAGCCCAGTTCATGAAGCCTGGCTTCATAGGCTTCTCTAGACCTTTAATCATTCTTGTCACTCTTCTCTGTACCCTTTCCAATTTCTCCACATCTTTCTTGAAATGTGGCGCCCAGAACTGGACACAGTACTCCAGCTGAGGCCTAACTAGTGCAGAGTAGAGCGGCAGAATGACTTCACGAGTTTTGCTTACAACACACCTGTTGATACAACCTAGAATCATATTTGCTTTTTTTGCAACAGCAATTCAACAATTTGCCAATAGTCACACAGAAAGTCTTCGGCAGAATCAGGAAATGAACCAATGACTCCTAAGTCTTAATTCAGTGCTTTAACCCCAAGATCATCCTTCCTCCCTTTCTTGTCTCCATTACTGCCTACAATGTGCTAAGCACTGTATAAACACAAAAACAGTTTCTCTACATAATTTTGTTAAACTCTTCAACTCTACTTGCAAAACCACCTGCTACTCTAGCCATAGATTTCCACTGAGTAGAATCTGCTATTTCTGTGAAACTGTGTCAGTATTTACACGGCTTGTATTGAAAACCATTGTGCTAATTTTGACAAGTGAATACTGTGATGGGGTGCTCATCCCAAACAGGCATAGAAGAGGTTAATCATGTCCTGCCCTGGAAGGAGCAATGGATGTGAGTCCTCCAAGCAGCCCAGAGAGGCTGTGTGAAACACAGCCAAACTGAGAACAGTTGCAGAGAGAGAGCACCCAATCTGGACTCAGCAGGCTGGAATGAAAAGGAGCCCTGGGAGTAAGGAGTGAGTCCCTGGAGGGCAGAGAGAACTATGCACCTTAGACAGAGCAGCTGGGAGAAAGGGAGTTCCTAGCTGGCTGCTTGGACTGAGCAGCTGAGTGCTCTCAGGTGAGGGTGCTCTCAGGTGGGGCCACAGGCAAGTTGCCTGAGAAAACATAGCAGCATTGACAGAGGTTGAACAGGACATATATGAGGCTGCTATGGGCTCCTGGGCTGCAAATTCTCCCAGCATCTCCACACTCCTGATTACTAAGGAAATGGCCGGACAGAGTTACCCTTCTCCCCTCCAGTGGACGGTGGAAACAGGAGGGCTGAGTTGCGAAGAGGATGCTTGTGTTTCTAGGAGTGTAGACAGGAGCAGTAGGGAGGAGCAGAGGCAGAGATGCTAGTGTGCTGACCACGGACACGTGCCCTGGCCTGGAGTCATAATCCCCAGCTCAACCAGGAGGCAGCAGTGCCAGTCTGGAGATGAGGACTGCATCCCATGACAATCACCTTTTCATTTAAGTTAGGTCTACATAGTAGCACATACCTTCAATTAAGATATGCGATTTGAGCTATGCAAATCGCATAGCTTATTTTGAAATTTGGCGCAGTGTATATAGTGCTAAATTTCAAAATAAAACCACTATTTCAGCATCTTCCCTAATTCTCATGCAATGAGGTTTACAGGAAACTGGAATAAGAAGCCTGTTATTTTGATGTATTTTGAAATAACAGGCTTCTTGTGTAGATAGCACAGAACGCTATTAGTATCCCGAAACAGGGCTGGTGTGTAGACGTACCCTTACAATTAAATTACATTTTACTAACTGCAGAGAGGCATACTGTGAAATGCTAAGTGGAAAAGTATATGGGAGAAAGAGGGAGACAGACATTCACTCACCTTATTTTTTGAACCCCTCAGTGATGTCTCTGTTAAAAAAAATTAAAAATTTAATTCTCAGTTAATTGTTAAAGGCAAACAACATAAACTATGCATGTTTAGTGGCCACACTTATGGACAAAGAACAGAGTGAGGAATACCAGGTATTTTACACTTACCTATCTTCATAGTTCTGCTGGCTCCAGGTTTGATATTGTAACAGATCCTTTGTAATTCACATCGTCCTGTTAATTTCCTCACCACAAATTTCAGACAACGCCATAAACACTTACAGTAGAAGTACAGGCACACCTGAACAAACATTCTGTCAAAGGATAAAGTGAGAATTTGGAACTGCATTTGTCTGAACAAAACAAGTATTATTTTAAGATGCCTAACTGTATCTCTGAAAGGACAAAACGTTTATGCAAGGAACACATGGAATCTTTTTCTGCAATAGATTACACACAAACAGGTTTGCAGAATCAGGCCCTTTAGGTTAACCCAGTTTAAAAAAAGGCAGACCATGAATCAGCTCAGAACAGTATCCCCCAAAGAACTTTAGTTCTATGAAGTTTTTTTCCCCACCATCTTTAATATATGAGTTTGTGTGCACAAGTCTTATGTCAACAGGAATTATGCCCATATAACAAGGGCTTTATGGACCTCAGAATGATTGTAATACTGTAACATCTAATGAGCCACAATCCCTTTAATTTTAATTTAATTTTAAATCCTACTTTGAAACAAACACTTTCTATAGCCTTGTGCCAGTCATTCAATCTCTCATCTTGACTGAGAAGTTCAAGGACTGTTAAGACTGATTAATGATGAATACAATGATGATACTTACCTAAATCCTGGGGTGCCTGGAATGAATGGCTCTAATTCAGGAAAGCACTGAATCCTCCTTTAACCATCTGTTTAAGTGGCTATCCTGAGCAGAGAGGATTCCTGAATAAGGGCCAACATTTGTACAGCCTCCTAATGTTGGGAACTGCAGTGTTCATAAAATTCAAGGTCATAGGAGCCTGGATAAGCCACATTTCTAAGGCATAGTCTATTTTACATTCATGTTTATTTTGTTATTAAAATAAAAATTCAAATACTATATTTGAGTGTGTTTATTAGAGTCCTGTTTACGGACCAATCAAGCATATGGACTGTACAAATACCAGGTAATAAATGTCCCTGCTCCAAAGAGCTTATAGTCTAACTAGTCAAGACAGAAAGATGGGGGAAAGGCTATGACACACAGGCTACGTCTACACTGGCCCCAAATTCCGGAAAAGGGATGCAAAGCAGGTAAGTCAGCATAGGGAAATCCACGCGGGATTTAAATATCCCCCGCGGATTTAAATAAACATGTCCGCCGCTTTTTTTCCGGCTTGGGGAAAAGCCGGAAAAAAGCATCTAGACTGGCGCGATCCTCCGGAATAAAGCCCTTTTCCGGAGGATCTCTTATTCCTACCGGAAAAAAAGCGGCGGATATGTTTATTTAAATCCGCGGGGGATATTTAAATCCCGCGTGGATTTCCCTATGCTGACTTACCTGCTTTGCATCCCTTTTCCGGAATTTGGGGCCAGTGTAGACGTAGCCTGTGTGTCATAGCCTTTCCCCCACTATGTGATGGTAGCAAATGTTCTACAAATCTTATTATTGACTGTGTCTAGTTAGGAAGATAAAAGCTAAGTAAAGTCACCATAGCATACCTTCAGTTCAAACAATTTTCAAAGAACTGTGACTACTATGTGAAGAAAAATCTTCAGATGCAAGAATTCTCTGATCAAATCATCCATGTACAGCTTTTACTGCTGTTGATATGAAGGAACACATCCTGCAGAATGTCAAATAATTCTTAACTCCCTTCCGCTTCACTAGGAGTTGAGGGAAGTGTAGGAAGTGCTCAGTGCTACAAACAGTCAGCCCCTAATTTCGGAAGCAACAATGTACTTACAAAAATAGTTTTGATAATTTGAAGAATGACTCACTTGTTTTCAGTTGTATTATGTTAAAATGGCTCAAGAGGAGCAACCATTTAAGTTCCAGGTTTCATTCTCCTATAATTTTATATAAAGGAAGTAACATGATGAATGCTACATAAGTGTCAAGAATATTTGGAAAACATATTATAATGAATCTACATATTTGACAATAGGCCCCAAATTTATGCTTCTATATCAAATAGGGCTGTTGATCAATCACAGTAAATTCATACAATTCACAAAAGTTAATTGCAATCAGTTTTTAATCACACTAATAATTCAAATTGATTTGCTATTTAACAATCATGTTTTTCTACATTTTCAAATATACTGATTTCTGTTAAAACACAGAATGCAAAAAAGTACAGTGCTCCTTTATACTTGATTACAAATATTTGCACTGTAAAAATGATAAAGCCTATAAGTTTACGCAGTCCTACTTCTTGTTCAGCCAATCTCTGAGACTAACAAGTTTGTTTACATTTACAAGAGTCAGTGCTCTCTGCTTTTTTGACCTCTGTTCATACTTTCAGATGACGTTCTCATGACACTTTTATAGCTACTATTGTAAGAAGGTATTTACGTAGAAGTCAAGCTAAATATTTGTATGCCCCTTCATGCTTTGGCCACCACTCCATTCAAAAATAAAGCATTAATTATATTTGGGGGAGAAGTGTATGTTGCCTGCTCTATTTTACCCGCATTCTGTCCTAAATTTCATTTTATATCCCTTTTGGACTATGACCAAGCACATGTTCATTTCAAGAACACTTTCATAGCAGATTTGACAAAACGCAGAGAAAGTACCAATGTGAGATTTCTAAAGATCTCTATAGCATTCCACCCAACATTAAGAATTTGAAGTACCTTCCAAAATCTGAGAGGGACGAGGTGCGGACCATGCTTTCAGAAGTCTTAAGAACAACATTACAATGAGGAAACTACAGAATCTGAACCACTAAAAAAGGAAAATCAACCTTATGCTGGGGGCATTAGACTCAGATAACAAAAAATGGATCTGCATTGGTCTACACTAGAGATGTAAGTGACTAGTTGAGTACTCGACTACCCGATAAGCCTAAACTTATCAGGTAGCTGAGTCGACTACTTGACTTCTCACATTTCTCCCCACCCTTGCTGTCTCTGTATTGGCAACAAGGAGGCAGCAAGCGGAGGTAAGCAGGAGCTGGTGCTGGAGGGACCCGGCACGAGCCAGGACAGAGTGCCTTCCTTTACTGACTAATCATGTAGTGAATACAAATTGTAGACTAAGCAGGGTATACTAAGAATATTAAGAGGCTGGTAACTGGCTAATTGCGTAGGCGATTAGCCAATTGCCTGCCTCTTAACATCCTTAGTCTACTTTGCCTTTGATCATTACTTGACAGAACCTATCAGCATGGACGCACATCTACTTGAATGGTGATTGAAACACAAAGGGACATATGAATATTAGCACATCAGGCACAAATATCTTATGACACTGATATTTGAATACCTGTTCTTATTAATGTCACCTGAAAGTGAAAAGCTGGTAGCATTATTTCCTGCAATTTTCAACAACCTTGTTTGTCTTAACAAATGGCTGAACAAGAAATAGGACTGAATGGACTTATAGGCTCTTAAGTTTTATTTGTTTTATTTTTGAATCAAATTTGTTTTATGCTAAATCCAGGATTTTATTTTAAAAAAAGATTAGTTCTATTTAAATCATATTTTTATTTAAATTGGATTTTTTAAAGTAATCAATAAAATACTAAATTTTTCATTTAAAAATAAGTTACAATTAAGTCTCATCACAAACATGCCAGACCTATACTTACAATCTCATACAAATGAATTATTGGATCTAGTCTCTTCAGCTTGCCTACTAGCTCTTGATTCTTGAAAATTCTGGGCTGTTTCTCTGCAGACTAAAAAGTACCATGTGCCTAGAAAGACACAAGCTGGATAGGATTGTTTTTGTTCTGTGCTTATATGGTGGTGGACCTGGGCCAAGCACAACAGAGAGTTAATTAAAATATTGTCTTAAAGACAGAGAAATAGCAGAGGCAGCAATAAAAACACAGTGGAATGGACTGGAAGGAAAACAGGAAGATGTTCAGCATACACACAACTTCCTATACTCTGCCACACTTTTGCCACAGAAAAACTGTCATGGCTTCTGGGCAAAAGAGAGACCTATTTGAGAATATTTTGAAGAAATTGTTTCCCTGGGTAAAAAAGAAAAATGTTTCAAGTGTAAGCAGTGCAAGAAGTTGATGCAGGGCCTAGTTGCAAGAATCAAACATAAGGAAAACTGCTTATTGGGAGAAAGTGATGTGGATGAAGACATGGATTTGGCTGAGTGGATCAATTAGTTAGTAACTTAAACTCACATTGCAATATGTCATTTTTCAAGACTTTCTCTATGCCTTTTAGTAAAATGTGAGTTGACAAGTACATTTGCAAGCTGTTTGCTGTGTTGGATGTTGCTAGAAAAAAAGAGATTAGCTTAGCTAATCCTTATGGTTGTTTAATTAGTTAACTAGGTTTGGAATCTATCACTCAAGTATGCAATAGAGAAAGCTGCAGTAAGAGATGAGTTGCCAGTTGCTACTTCATGCCATTTTCTTATTTTATATTACATAATACACACCTGTTATTTTGGAGCATCATGGCCACAGACCACAATGGTAATATCAAAAATCTATTCCTTATTTCACTTCAGCATAACCCATCTCTTCTAAAGGAACCCAATCTATACTTGTTTTCTCAAAAAATACAAGTGCAAGTGGGTTCAATGGGGTTTACTCCAAAATTAAGTGCACCCTAAGCAGTCACACTTAGTATTTTTGATCACTTAATTTAAATCAATGATATTGTTTTGATGATTTAAATTGCCTTGATTTAAATCCATCTCCTTTAAATCTACATTTGTAAGTTCTACTTTCATGCTAAAGAGATTGCACTACGTTATCTGTATGAAGAACATTGAAAAATACTATTTCTTTTTTTTACAGTGAAAATATTTGTAATAAAAAATAAATATCAAGTGAGTGTTGTATACTTTGTATTCTGTGTTGTAATTAAAATCACTACAGTTGAAAATGTAGAAAACAGCCACAAATGTTTAAATAAATGATATTCTATTATTTTTTAATAGCACAACTTACTGTTATTATTTTTTAATTGTGTTATTAATCCTGGTTAATTTTTTTAAATTGCTGACAGCTCTAATATCAAGTTCGTGAAATTAGTTGTACTGAAATACTAAGGCCTTGTTTATACTTCGAATGCTTTGGAAATACAGCTGTACAAGCAGAGTCCTCTAATGCAGAAATAATTTATGCTGCCAGAAGAAATTTTCTGTAGACTAACCATGTCCCCACATAACAAGTATGTCAACAGAAGCTCTATTCTCTCAGCATAGCTACATCTACACTGGGGGTTGGCATGCATAGCTACACCAGCTGGGATGTTTGTTTTGTAAACACAGTCCAGACCAACATAACCAGTTTGACTAAACTTTGTAGTATAGATCTGACCACTGTCCAAGATCCTCAACCCATGTACTTTGATGCAGCTCTAGCAGAGCTCCATCACAATAAGCAAAGATCAGTCCTTATGGGCGCATCTACACAGGGAGACTAATGCCTGGCCTACATTAAAAAATTAGATTGGTGTAACTAGGTCAATCAGGTGCATGAGAAAGCCACACCTTATTAGTGGCCTAGTTAAGCCAACCTAAATCCTCATTCAGGCAGCACTAGATCAACAAAAGAATTCTTCCAGCACCATGGCCACTGCCTGGAGTAAAGGAGGGGATTTCACTGATGGGCTATAGCTGTGCCATTTCAAAGTGCAGATATACCTTAAGGAAAATTAAGTCACAGTAAATAAATGTGTGAAGATAAAGTGCATCAAACCTCTATGCAGGTGCTTATTTTGCTTTAGTTTAAATGTAATCCCCTTTGAAGGTGGATTAAGCTAAAACAAGGAAGGTCACTTTACATCTGAATGAGAGCATCCATATGAGGGTTAAATGCACTTTAATGTAGTTTGACTTTACACCATTAGTTAACTTGTCTTAACTTGCCTACATGTCCTTGTATAGATGCGCCTTTAGCATTTATGCCACAGTAAGTCTGCATTTTTTAATCAGTCAGCAATCATGAAGAATTCTATGGCCTTGTCCATACAAGTGGTGTAGTAGTAAAACTGCATCAGTATACAGTGGTGTAGTAGTAAAACTGCATCAGTGCCAGCTGCACTCGGTCTAATGAAGATGCTTTATGTCAGTGAGAGAAGCACTCCTGCTGACAAAATGCTGTCCATACCAGTGCTTATGTCAATGTAACTTCTCTCTCACAGGAGGCTTGTTTATTCACTGTCCTGAATGACAAATTGTGCCAAAAAACTGTAGTGTAGGCATAGCCTAAATGACATGTCCCTTCCCAGACAAACATGAATCAGATATACTCAGATTAGGATATTCTCCATATTGCTAGCACTAACTTGAACAAGAACACATTAAAAATGTGAGGAGTTTGCTCAAATATGCGCCAGGCAACCAATTTCTTAGTATTAAGAGAGAAAATGAAACAGCAGCCTAGAAAAAAAATCCCACCACTAAACAGATGCATAGACATTTTTAAGATCTCTGCAGCAGTCAGAAACATAAATCAGGCAAAAGGAGAAAATAAAGTGTGTCACACAAAGCCAGCCAATGTCTTATTCCACAATTTTAATTTCTGCTCCTGCAAAAATTGACCCTAAATCTGGACATTTCAGTACTCCAGCAATCACATATGCCTTGCGAGTCACTGTGGTTGTTGCTATCCCTCAGTTAGGTTACTACCTTCAAACAAAAAAACCCAGCACAACCCAGCAACTGACCCCTGACAAAACTGAAAGAGCACAGAAGTGCTCATTTGTATTCCTACCAAGGTAAAACTCTCCACAAATCAAATGGCAATTCTATCTGAGAGCACTTCTGGGTGGGATTCAAATGAAGCAAGACAAAAAATTTGCTTTTTGATCACTGATTTATGCTATAAATTAAAAATCAAACATTATTAGCGTGCATTGTATTCCATGATTGTAATGTACTTCTATTTTGGCAATGTCTGCAGCCCACAGTGGTTGTCTCTTCTTTGCATACAGATAAAAGATCAAAAGCTGCTCAACTAAAATGTTTATTTCCAAAACAGAATTACTCTTATAAACAGCATAGTTCCTTTATAACAACTGTATGATTGTAGTTAATTCATTCCCTTGGGCTTAAACATTACAATTTAACTTTCATTACTGGTAAAAATCTGGTTTCATGGAGAACAAATGTTCTTAGAATTGCATAAAGTGTCAATAACAACTTGCTAGCTGTGACATGTCATTGTGGCATTGCCTTTAGGTTCAATGATGAAAAATGCTTATAGTGGTACAAGCAGTTGGGACTTTTCACCTGTTTCTCCTTTTTCCAAATTATGTTCACCATTATAATTTTGTGTATGGTTTGTACTAAAAATGGGTATCCCACCTATAAAATGGGAGATAATTAAACTGATCTCCTTTGTACAGCATTTTGGGATCTACAAATTAAAAGAGCCAGATAAAAGTTAGATTATTTATTTTATTAACAGCCAAAGTACAGCTATTAAAAATGGATCACAGCACTACAGAACAAACATACTGCATTTGAGACTTACCTTTAATACATTTAATAGTAGCTGTTTTCAATAAAGCAGACTACACTAATTTTAACTAGGAAGCTAATGTAAAAAAAATCTGTTTTTTGTAGATACCTGTATTGTTACACTACTCGTCCATCTTAACCTTGTGAAAGAGGAAGTCTTCTTTACAACAAGAATGGTATGAGAGTTACTGAAATTTGCTTTCAATTATTTTTTTAAATAAAAATGTATTCTTGCTTGCAGACGTCCTGTAATGAAAGCACACTGCTGATGAAATGAGTGATGTTTTATTTTAAAATAAACTGAAATTCCTAAACACCAAGCAAAACAAAGAGATTGAGAACTTCTAGTGCAGCACTATAGCACGATTACTGAATTAAGTTGGATGACACACAAATGACTGACTCTGGCAAGATATCCAAATACAGTACCTTCCAAATTACTGTGGAAATAATTTCCCTGTCTCCTCCCCTCCTCTCAAGCCTGCTGTGGATCTGGCTGTTTTCTTAGAATAGAAAATGTAGAGCCATTTACACCTGCTTAAAGTGGTCTAAAATGATACTCAAACTTCTCCTCTCAAGTGAGTGTTAATTCATCATTAGATTTCAGAAAAGCAAGTTTAGAAATGTCTTGACTTTTGCATAAGATGAGATTTATTCCTCCACATCATGAGCTCTACAACACCGCATATATGCATGTTATATACAACACACATACTGCATTATGCATAGTTAACAGAGAAATAAAGATTTTTTAAACTAAAAATTCCTAGTTACAAAATCTATTTGCTTTCCTTAAAACTATTTTCACCCTGATTTTGGACCACTAAGTCCATGAAAATATTCATTATAATATGAAAATCCAATATGTTAAATTTGGATGAAGATTTTATGTTAACAATAAAATTACTTAGTAGAAACGCAAGGCTGTCTCTTAACTAAGGCAGTGTAATGGAAGATACACACATGCATGCACATACGCATGAGTACACTGGTGATCAAATCTGGATGGAGATATATACGGTGGCATGGCAACATGGGCCACTCAGGTTACAATATGCCATCTCTATTTTTTCTGCCCTCCTGTTCCCAATATTTAACCATGCATACTATAAATAGCACTACTATTGTATACTATAATACTATGAAGTTTATTTTTTGCCCTTATTTTCAGTCTTTTTAACATTTTTGTAATAAACACTAATAAATTCCTAGGAAATATTAAACAACAACATCAAAAGCCTCTAAAACGAAGCTAACCTCGCACATAAGTTAGCTGTGCTGTTTAATCAGGAAAAACACAAATCTAACATGACATACAATATGAAAATTGCCATGTAAATAGCAGTAAACTTGTAAATTGTAACTGTCTTAATTTTCATTGTTTGAGGCCCAAACCTTAATGATTCATTCAAACTAGTTCATACATTTGCATATGCACACACACACTCGGCCCTCCACAAATGTGTCTTGTGATTGCATAAATGCGTGTGCGCGCGCACGCACACACACACATACACACACAGTAAGAGGGGGAGTTAACTACTCAGAGGTGTCTCCTTTTCACTCTCCGTTGCTGCCTCCAATACCACCTCCCTATTTATTCAGGAATGCTAAACTGGTTGTGTGTGTGTGTGTGTGTGTGTGTGTGTGTGTGTGTGTGTGTGTGTGTGTGTGTGTGTGTCACACACACCCCACCTGGCACAGCAGCTCTGAAGTGCCTCCTGCAAACACTTTACAGCTGGTCAGATGTGTTAGAATTCATCAAATCTGCCAGTGTTCAAAGGGAAGTACCAGTATCAAGCTTCCCGTTCTTTTAAAAACATAATAAGAATTACCATACTGGGGCAGACCAAAAATCCATTTAGCCCAGTATCCTGTCTTCCAACTGTGGTCAGTGCCAGGTGCCCCCGAGGGAAAGAACAGAACACGGAATCACCAAGTCATCCATCCCTTGATCTCCACTCCTGCTTCTGGCAAACAGAGGTGAGGAACACTATTCCCTCCCATCCTGGCTAATAACCATGTCATGTAAGGCTTGTCTACCAGAGACATCCAATGAAGTTAAGACAAATTAACTAAAGATGTGAAGTTAATGTGCATTAATTCCCCAAGTGTCTTGTACTCAAGTAGCACCTAGAGGCCCTGGTATGCATATGTACAGCATCTAGACAACCAGAGACAGCCCCTATCCTGAGGGCCTTGAATTTAAATAGACAAGACAGACAAAGGTGCAAGAAAGTGACTATTGTACTTCTCATTATGTGACCTGTCCACAGTCACACATGAAAACTCTGTGACAGAGCCAGAATAGACAAGAGTTCCAGGCCAATGTGTTAACCACGAAACCACAAGACCACACTATCATTGTCTAGCTATATAGTCTCCCATCCACATCATTTGAGGGAGGGTGCTTGGGTGAAAGGGTGAGACTGCCCCTGCACTCACCAGCAGCGGGAATCAGAGCAATGCAGCTGGGAGCCAGGGAAGTAGAGCAGGTTGTGGCTGGGTCACTCCACTTCTCATCACCACCAGTGAGCGCAGGAGGGAGGGGGAAGAACCCTGCTGCCAGCACAAGTGCCCCACTAGTCCCCAGGCAATGTTGCTCGGGGAGAGGGATTGGGGGAAGAGGTGGAGTGGGAGCAGGGCAGAAAGAGGAAGGGCTGTCTAGACTTGTGATGACACGAGGGAGTCACATGGTTGGTATCCCCCTTGTGTCCCTCCCCAGCAGTCAGATGTGGTCTTTCCAGAGCCTATTCTGGTTCTTAGTGTCTCTTTCCAAGTTGTCTTTATATGGGATGGAACTCTACTCAAACCCTATGGGCTTCCCACTTTACATTTTGGTTCAGAACGTACTCCCTCAGCAGAAGCAACTTCAAAATACTTCTGTCATCCTCAGTTTCTATTTAGTCTCCTTACTCTAGGCAGAGCAGTGGTTCTCAGTTTGTGGCCCACAGGACACTTGTGGTCCAATCAATACACAGCTACAGCCCATGTGAAATCCTCAGAGCGTGTGCACGTCTGTATATTAGTGTAGATGCAGCAAACATAGCACAGAGAGCTGCATATATAGCCCACAGTGACAGATTGAGAACTATTCTAGAGCAGTGGTTCTCAAACTGGGGTCTGCGGATGAGAGCAGCAGGAGGCCATGCCTGGGACTCGGTGCCGTGCCTGGGAGCAGAGCAAGGTGCAAAGGCAAGTAAGTGCCCTTCTCATCCCCTCATGTCCAGACCCTGCACTTCCCCCGCAAACTCACCCCTACTGAGACCTATTGCACATGTGACAGAATTATTAACTTGAAGTCCGTCTGACAGAGCTCCTACACTATAAAATTTAGCACTACACCTCTACAGACAGAAGTAACGAAGGAAACCCATTTCAACAAAAGAGTGATGGCAGCCAGGTTGGCTTAGATACCAGATCATTATGGATGATCAACTTCATGTAACAGTACTGAAATCTGCAGTACAAAAGGGACAGCCAATTCTTTAGCTGTCCATTTGTGAATGTCTTTAACTTTCTTCTGAAGCTGACTGGTAACATGCTACTGGATTAGATACATCACCGACATGATTCAATACACCAGCTCCTATATTCTGTACAGCTAAAAATGAACTTAACAGTATCTAACAGTTTGATAGTTTTAATTAAACGGCAGCAGCAAAGTGGCTGAAAAGCAAGCAAAAAGCAGCTATGTTCCACTAGTAACACAGAAAATATTGGATAAAATATAGCAAAATTGTTGTACAATGTTATCGTCAGTTATAATTACAAATAGTTTTGGAGAAGGGTTACCTCAGGAAGTGCTTCATTGTGGTGGCTTTGATGTTCCAGACACACAATCCTATTCAACTGATCACAGATGAAATTGTTCTTGAAGAAATAACTGATGTTGTAGAAAAAAAAAAGCAAACAGAATTTACTTACAGAAATATATCTCAGCATTTTCACTTGCTCAATATTTTCCTTCTCCACACCTCCCACAATTATTTTAAAAATTCCAATTCTAACAAAAATAATAAGTTTATGTTCAAGTCTTCAGCCTGAAAGCTTACATATAATACTTGGCTCTATGCCTTTCTTTTCAGATTATAGATTTTTTTAGATAAAGCCCAGGATTAAAATCAAGAAAGCCTAGATTCCCAGCAAAAACTCTTTCAAACTTCCTTGAAACTCAGGAAGTTGAAACATCCTCCCCATTTGTAATTGCAAAAAATATATATCTAATCTCACACAGGCATTGTAAACCTGAATTCTTAAGCACCTGTAGCAGTATTTAGAGATTTGTGGTTGAAAAGCACTAAATAAGTGTAAAACATTATTATTGGATCCTGATTTGAGACATACATGAGACCTAGGACAGCTAACTACTCTTCCAGGCAACAAGAACCTTGAGGATGATATGTTTGCTGTCTTGCAATTTATTTCCTCATTTTTTTTCCTCACCATCGTCACTAAACTCTTCTCAGACCTGCGAGCCTAGTTAAAGTTCCTTTGCAATTACTAGCTCTCTAAAAGCCGTGGGCAGGTGAAAAGTCTGCTGCCTTTACTAGAGGGGGGACAGGGGAGGCTGCTGCAAAATAGTCTCTGTCTATGGCAGTCCGGGCTCAAATGGACAGAGGCTGATCCGCAGCAGCAGCTCCCGTCCGTGGCAGGGGTTGAAGCTTCCTGCGGACAGGGTCTGCTGCTGTGAAGCAGCTTCTGTCTGCAGGGAGCTTGGACCCCACGCAGACAGGGGCTACCACCACCCTGTGTTGTTACCTCAGTGCAGAGCAGCAGGCAGCTGGTCTGTGCAGGGAGCTGTTCTTTAAACTGGCTCCCTTGGCAGAATGACTCTTGCCTGCCATCTCACGCTCTGATAGAAGCAGCAGCGCAGGGTGGCAGGAGGGTCCCCACGAGTGGGGCCAAGCAGCGCGGTGGCAGGAGGGTCCCCACGAGTGGGGCCAGGAGCACACTGACTGCTGGCCCCGCCCCCGTGAACTAATGAATAGTCTTATAACTACTAATATTTCATGTGGTTACACGACTATTCAATTACACAATATGTAACATCCCTAAATGATACTACTAATCTAAAGCAAAGCGCTCTCCCCCCACACACATTCTTTCTTCCACCTAGGGATCATTTTCCTTTCCTTATTTTGACCTCTCTGAATATTACATTATACTGTCACCTGCTGACAAGAAAAGAACAAGTGCTCCATTTATAAAACCACAGCTATCTGGTTGGATCACATTATGCTGTTTGCTAAAAATATACAATTCCCTGAACTGTGAAAACTTCATTCATTTAGATTGTTTTTGACTGGCTGAATCATGCTACTGTCCCCTGAATACAGCTGTAATTGCTATGCACTGCTGTGACACCTGCTTGAAAGGATGGACAGAGGCTAAAAACAAACTCTGGTTCATTAAAGGACACAGCAGGAAGGTTTCTAATTCTCCCTGGAGAAACTTTTGCTGTTCCTTAGACAATATCAAATGCAGGGGAAAAGGGAGGAGAAGGGCAAAAACTGAAGAAACAGTTTACTGTTTACACACACTAAATTTCTGTCCAAAAATATAATTTGTGCAGTACTCTCACTACTGGGTCTTAGCTTCTTAGCATAATACAAATGAAACACCCTTTAGTCTTAAGCTATTATGACCCTTAATGACAATAGATGCAGGACCAGGACATAGTCCAGATACTCCACACCACCTCTTGCTAAGCAAAGGCATTGCCTCTGAGCATCCCCAATCAGTTAGTGAAGGAGCTTCCTGTTGGAGACTGTGCTTATGTTACCTCAGCTCCAGATGGGAGACCAACTTCACGTACAGTTCTGTACCCTAAAATTGAGTGTTGCATTGCTGGGAATCATTAGTACTACAGATTTGTGAAACCTGTCTACAAGTGCCAAGGTCAGATCCTGTTGAAAAACCTGAGCTGACTGGAAGTTTTTGAAGGTTTGTAACTAAAAATTGGTCTGTTAAAAAACACACACACACCACAACCCACAGAGGTTTCTAAAAGGTCAATATTGCTTTGGGGCTTCCCATCACCCCTTCTATTTTTCATGCCTAAGTTAATGTTTTAAAGGCAAATACCTCAACAACACGTGTGTATCAAAACAGTTTTGGCAAATTAAAATGTTGATAACTAGGGCCTTACCAAATTCACGGTGCATTTTGCTCAATGGTCATAGGATTTTAAAAAACAGTAAATTTCACTATGTCAGCTATTTATATCTGAAATGTAAGTGTTGTAGGGATGCTGATCCAAAAAGGAGCAGGGGACACAAGGTTATTGTAGGAGGGGCTGCAGTACTGCTACCTTTACTTCTGTGCTGCTGCTGCTGCTGCTGCTGGCAGCTCGGCCTTCAGAGTTGGATTGCTGGAGAGCAATGGCTAGGAGCCCAGCTCTGAAGGCAGAGCTGCTGCCAACAGCAGCACAAAAGTAAAGGTGCCATGGCATGATATTTCCACCCTTACTTTTGCACCACTACTGACAAGATGTTGCCTTTAAAACTGGGTGGCCAGACAACAGTTGCTGCTCTCTAGTGGTTGAACTCTGAATGCTGTGCACAATAATGACAGTACTATGACCCTCCTACAATAATCTTCTGACTCCCCCACAATTTGAGAAGCGCTGATCTCTGTCCCCCTATAACATCTGCATAGTATAGGATAAAAGCACACAAAAGACCAGATTTCAAAGACAGGCCATGGGCAGCAGGTATAAGAGGGAGGGGAAGGCACTGCCTCCCCAAATTGACAAGTATAGCCCCACCCACACTCCATCCCCTGCTTTAGCATGGCTCCCTTCCCCTGGGCTTCTGCTGTGCAGAGGGTAGGGACACTGGAAACATCTGTTCTCTCTGTGCTCCAAGGCTGGGGAGGCTGGGGTCGTGCAACGCCCACCCTCCCTGTGCTCTGGGGAGGCTCATGTGGGAGGTTGGAGATTTGCCTCTGAAGTGGGGGGGGCTTGGTCTTCAGATGGAAGAGCAGAGGCTGGGAAGTTGCCTCCCCCAGCCCTAAAGTCACCACTGCCGGTCAGGGAAGCCAGATTTCATATTCCATGTGTTTTTCAGGACTATGAATATGGTAGGGCCTTATTGATAATACTTTTAGATAAAATGTGTCTAAAATGCATAAATCAGTCTACTTCAAACCATATGAAACAAACAGCATTGAAATTACTCACAGAACATCTTTTTTCCCTTTTAAAACCTGTTTTTTTTGTTTGTTTTTATAAATGGTTAGGACTGAAATTCTACCCCTTTTAATGTCAATGGCAAACTCTCACTGACTTCACTAAATTCCAGGATTTAACCCTAGGAGCTTTTAAAAGATAGTATCTAAATCCATCTGAACACAAAATATGGGAAATCTATAGTGTGAATGAGATGGCAGCAGAGGCTATAATCTTAAGGATGCAAGTTTCTCTCTCTGCTTGGCTACAGGTAGCCAAACTTCACCAAAATGGCCAAAGGGAGCAGAGCAGATGGAGGCCTTTTAGCAGAGTGGGAGAGACAAAAATAACAGTGGTTTCTCGGTCCTGAGTCTCATGGAGGTGTAGAAACTTATTCTGATTGGCAGGCAGTATCCATACTCAGCATGGGATGGCCAGTCAGAGACCCAGATTCTTGTCCTCAAGCAAGTTAATGCCCCCAAAACCACCATTTTAAGATCGAAAAGATTGCCGCCACCGCCACCACACCCATGCTGGGAAACTAGGCCTGGGGTTGACAGTTCTGTAAAATGGCATCTTTGGAGAAGCAGAATTACAGAGTAGTTTTCCTCTTATCTAGATTATTCCCTGAAGTGTGGGATTTTTTTTTAAATGGAGCCAGCAGTCTTTCAAGAAAGCCTTTTACTGAGTAACATTCTCTACTTTTTTAAATGTTAGTAGCATTCACTTCCAGAAAGTGGTTTCTTACACTGCAGGAAGACATACCTGGTCTTGACTGAATACATACTAACTATTCATTAAATTATAGCAAATTAGAACAACTAGAACAATCCCATTTGATATCTTTTCATCCAGAATCTTTATAATGGATTTTCACAAAAACGTAACAACTCCAAAGTATATCTTTTGCTACCAGAAAAAGTAACATGTCCATTTTTAAAAAACCCACATACCATAATTTTAACAGAACTTATGAACAATAGGATTCCATCAGCTTGAAACTTTTCAGATAAATGTAACTCTCTGTTTGGGAAAGTGCCCTGTAATAGTGAAAGAGACTCAGCTTGTGGTCTCCCATTTTTTAATCAAAGAGATACCAGAAGAAAATAGATGTTTTCTCTTTAAGTTGGTTTCCTGCAAGTCAAGAATGTTTACATTGGCACGGACAACAAAACAAAAAACTAAACACCTACCAGTGGTATGGTCCAAGTGCGAACAGATTTATTGGAAGATGTATAGAACAGGTGGGGAACCTAATGCCCAGGAGCAGGATGTGGCCCACAGCTTGCCTGGATCTAGCCCCTGAAGTTCACAGCCTCCTCTGCGCTGGTGCTCTCTTCCTCCCCCCGCCCCTCCCACACACACCCACACCCACCCCCTCCCCCCCAGGGCTGGAGCACACAGTCTACTTGGTTGGGCTCCCCTAGGCTCTGGTGTGCAAGGGGAATGTGGGAAGTATCTTTCTCCTTCTCAATTGGGGACCACATAAGTGAGCTGTGTGACCTCCAACTGATTTTTCTGTGGATCAGTGGCCTCCAACCCAAAAAAGGTTCCCCACCCCAATCTAGAGAGGAGAATGCTTAAATAAAAGAAATCAGGGGTTTCAGCACAATGTGGATTATCAGCAATGAAACGCTTTAAAGAAAAATATATTGTTTATAGCAAATATTGACTTTTAGCTTTTAAATTATTCTTATGGTTGATTACCTGCCATG